GTGCAATTATAATGGTCTACTTTTTTTTAATCGACTAGTGATTAAATGTTTTGTGAACATCTTCTAAAATTATAATTATGTACCTTTAAAAAATTTCGTTATAGTCGAAATAGTCCCAATGCCCCACTAGAAAAACCGGTGATTAAAACTATGCTCGCTACCGTAGTTGAACTCATCTAAAAAGTTTTTTTAGCTGGAATAATAAATATAATTCAAGTTAGACCTTCTGAAGATGTCAAAATATTTACTTTTTTATTTTTATTTTTAGAATTTTCACAAATTATACTTCCTAACACTTTTAGAATAATTAAATAATAAATTTTTCGTATACTCGCTATTTCAACCCATGCATTGGTATACCTATACTAGTTGTTTGCGACATTCTCCGATGGTGGCTGCACATCGGAGAATGCACCAAGCCTATACTATCTTCCCATAGTAGAATACGGAAATACGTATTCCACATTCATTCTCAAACAAAATAAGATAAAAACGCTAATTAGGCTGAAGCAGACCTTATCGTTATAGTTTTTGAAGTTATCTTATCTTATCAGGTTTTTAAAAGTCATTGAGTGAATAGTGACTGGTATTATATCATATTTCTATCTGAGAAATACCCATATATGCCAATAAATATTTTCAATAGCTTTCTTTTTAATTTCAAGCCATTTATTGACCCCAGATGCCAGTACTATTAGGTCATGCGACAGATCATTGCTTTCCAATATAATTTATAGGATAGGGGCATCCTTATAGGCGTCTGGATATAACCATACGTTTTTGTTAAGAATTATTCTTTCCTATTATTATTATATTTCATTGCGTAACCTTTAAATTTTATAAAAACAATATTTTTCATTTTCTTTTAAAAAATATCCTGTTGTACACTAGCTGTATAAAGTGAAAAAGGTCTCCACTATTCATTTTCTCTAGTAATTGTCACAATATCCATACGACGATTATTACTAACTTAACTGTTAACCATAAATTACTAACCTCTTCTGAAGTGGCTTATTACTAAAGCAAAGAAGTTGCAGGTCGTAGTGCAAGCAGTAGTGTGTCGACCTGCGTTGCGAGAGGTACTGGATTCGATCCACAGCCAGCACGGTCGCTTTATTTATTTAAATAAAAATATTGACTTATCTAAAAAGGGCGATCAGCAATCCTCCACCTCAAGGAAGGAAATGGCTAACCACCTTGAGTATATTTGCCTTGTACAGCCTCTCAAATAGTGCCGTCGGATTCGGCGATAAACTGTAGGTCCCGTGTACTTGTGCAACACTGATGACATACATCACAATACATTCGAGAGGTAGCCAACGTTATGTATAGAATATGGCACTAAGAAGAAAACGTATTTCATATTGTAAGTTATTTGGTTTTATTGTATTGTGTAATCGAATTCAGGTGGCTGCAATAACTCAACTGTTGCATTTTTTTACGAAAATGCAATTTTTAATGCTGGCCCTTTAAAAAATAGCCTGATCATGCTCTGCAACAATCAGCTGTCTTTATTGAACAGTACATAACTGAGACAATATCATTTAGAGCTGCCTACTGGGATCTGATATACCTCCTGAAACATTGATAAATAATATGACGATAAAACCTTTACTTATTATGCGGATAAAACTTCTAATGCTATTGTGGTGACTTTTTAGTTTATTTAATCTAAGAGAATGATCGATACTTAATCAGTATCGATATTTGAGCTCCTCTCTACTCGGCGATAATTAGCCGCTTCATCGGAAGCGGGGACGCAGCAGAAACAGAGTGCAACGATATTTAGGTCGACTAGATACGTCATCCATGAAGTGTAGTTTCCAGATTCGTTTATAATTTAGATATTTTCTATACTTAGAAGATAAGCGCGTACTACGATTTCACCTGCACGATATTTTTGGCGTAGAATATAAAATGTACCAAATAAAACAACTTCTAGGCCGAGTGTTTCTACTGTTGAATTTTTTTCACGAAGTATTTGACGCTAACTGTAGCGTCAAATACTTAAGGCCGTTGATGAGGGACTTTGACTTGGCGTGTTCTTGATGTCAATACTCGGCTTATAGAAGGTGTTAGGAATATCAGGCATATAGACTGCATGTGTAGGCAAGTACTGCTCTATGTAGAATGTAGAATATTTGGGTGGGAGGTTAGTCACGGCGACCTTACAAATCTATTTTCTGTCCCCCTTACTTGAGTTATAACGAGTTATAACTCATCAAATAGTCTCAGGGCTTTGACAAAAGCCAGTATTTGAGACGGCTTCACAGAGGCTAGTTCTCCATCTCCGATATCAGTCGTACCAATGTTTATGACACGATTGGTTATCGTCTCGACGCACTCAGTGATGAGATGTTCTGGTGTTTCCCCATTTTCCCCACAGAATTTGCTATCTACTGCAGCTTCAATCTACTGAGGTGTTCGTTGAGGAGACAGTGTCCTAAGTACTGCTCTTTAATAATTATTTTGTTTTCCGACCACCATATTGTATGATGATTGTTGCAGACATATTCTGCGATTCAGAATTTCGAAATATCGGCTGTTGCTACATATAAAGTTTCAAAGATCTTTCTCTTCATCGGTAAGTGTCTCTTGGTCTCGTTGATGTAAGATGTACCACACTCACATGAGTTTTGTAAATACAGTTGCTCTACTGTTAAGTATTTTCAGTTTTTTTTTGCTTAATACACTTCTTTAGGTTATTGAAGTTGTCAAATCTATTTTAACTTTGTCTCTCATCCAGTCTTCTTTATTTTTTCACTGATTCCTTTATACCAACGATGGCAGTGGAAAGTAGTATCGTTATTTTCTTGCTGGTTTGATATTCTCTGCTTATCAATAATCTGGATAGTTTGTTGTGATCCTGAGTTGATCCCACCGCTGCCACCAATGTTGTAGTCGCCGCCAGCAAATATAGTAGTTCTCTGTTGAATGACCTTGTTGTGATTTGACTCGTACCACCATTTGTGTTGGGAATTTTATTGTTTATTTTTTATAAGTAAACTCTTTTACTAGTTGGTCATTACTTTTTTAATTTTAAATTTTTAATACAAAATACAAATTTTAACAAACAAAAATTCGTGAATCTTATGTCTATGAAAGAATTTTTAGGAATGCAACCCGGTCCCTTCTGCGACCGTGCTTTTATGAGAATGCTCTCTCCAAAAATCCACGGGCGTACCTATTATTTCTTAATAACATTTTATGAGCGGTTTGCAAAAGGCCAAACATAACCATTTCTTAAGTAAATAGAAACCAGACATCCCGTCTGAAAGTAAATGAATTTTGGGGCTGAACAAAGGAAAACTAAAAATGACGCACATAGTTATGACTAGTTTATTTTAAGGTAAAGGTTCTGTTTATTTCCGTCTACCCATCTTTCTGAGAAGAATAATAATGTTAATCGTTTTTTAATATCTTAAACTCTTTAGGCATAGCCGTAGTATAAGGGTAAAATTAATATTTTATAAAATTTGTAGAATATACAGTACGTCTGCTGGATCTGTGTCTATGAAAGGAATGCGGACAAAAAATATTTAAATAAACAGCAATTTATTTTATACGTCGACTTAACGAGTACGTCACCGCAAATCGCTCCGCCCACTCATTTTTTGTCTACTTGCAAATTTGTTGAATTTTTATTGATGGGAGGCGTCTATTTTTTTACGAAAAACATCGAGAGAATATCGTTTCCCCTCTCACGGATACCCCGTAGCTACAGAACGAACAGACGTACTGTACATATACATATAACCATATTAAATGTATGTTCACAACAAGTTGTCTCAAAGCCATCTATTAGATATCAATTTTGCTGTAGGTAATTTCTTATGTATTCCTTATATCTCCTCTCATAATGATTTTTTTATGGTGAATGTTTGCATTTGCACACAGGAATATCTGCTTTGTGTTGCCAAACAAGAATGGTTGCTAGAAATATATTTACAGGTATATTTTTTTGAAAAGCGTTATAAATCATAATACCTATACCTATACCGTACCTATAAATAATGATGTAATTATGATGATGTAAAATATTAAATATAGTAAATCCTAAGAGTAAATCATTAAAAGATCAAAAGTACCTTACCCTCTGTACATATTCATTTTTATTATTCAATAAATTTTCTTTACTGTTCTTAATTTAGAAAATAGAAAGCACTAAATCGAAATAGCAGTAGATTGGCTATATTCATGAATCGTGACACATTGAATCGTAATAGAATGAATGGTAGGATTAATTACCATTGTGTCAATAGGAAGATATCTATCTCATAAATCTTTATTTATTTAAATCGACCGCACAATACCACCCAAAGGGAAAATAGAAAGTTAAAATATTGATTGAGAGTATCAACGGCTTGGGTCTTACGTACATTTTATTTGCTTGACATAAAAAAGATTATGTTTTAAAAATTATACAGGGTGTCAAAAGAAACTTGTACCCATGAAGTACTTATCTTAGATAGGAACTATCGGAATCAAGAAATAGTCATCTTACCCGATAGTCAAGCGTCTTAAGAGCGATCAACTCAGTAACAATTAATTCGAAGTTGGTGAAAGAATGCCTAGAGCAGCTCAACAAATTAGGCAAATAAAATAAAGTCCTCCTACTCTGGGTGCCAGCCCTCCAAGGCATAGAAGGTAAGTAAAAAGCAAACGATCTAGCTAGAAAAGGAGCGAGTACTCTACTAACTGGACCAGAGTACCTCAGTAGACTGTACCTAAGAAACAACGGCGAATACAGGAATGCAAACATCTCCTTGCCGAGAGGGAACCATTCGTGCCATAACCTTTTGGTACTAGTGATATAGGAGATGAGGAAATAACCTCTGTAAAAACGTCTCAGATACTGGCTTTTGTCAAAGCCCTGGGACCGTATGATGAGTTATAACTCACGAAAGGGGGACACAATAGATCTATAAGGTCGCGGTGATTATCTTCCCTCCTTCAATACATTCTACAATCTAGTTGCATATAAAGGAAAACTAACTTACCTCTTGAGTAAAATCTGGTTCTATCAAGGTGGTGGACGCGGCTGCACTCTGGTGCATCTGTTGCTCGCTGGCAGTCTTTTGGATCGCTTGGTAAGCTGAAGTGGTAAGTACGAGCAGTTCGTGCCACTTGTGGGTCAGCAGTCGCGTATGCACCTCCACAGGAAGTTCCAGATAAAAAGGTAACCTACATTGAAAAAAAAAACTTTAAAACTTTAGTTTAAACTCGAGACAATTGCAATTAATATATTTTTATTCTATACACAGACAATGGAAGTTTGACATCACACTTTCCTTTCAAATGAATCATAGTCATTGATTATCCGACTTACTGGCTTCTAGACTAGTCCGACATATGCTCGAGTAAGCTATTTGGATGGATAGAAGTTAGAGTTTATATGTTTCTAAAGTGTATTTAACTGCTTATCATTTTTATTTCGAATAATACAAGTGTCATGTAAAGCTAGATTTTAGGGTTAAATGATGTAATTTCAATTGCATACTTTTCAAGCCATTCCATGTAGTTATTAACTATTACCGGTAAGAAAGGAAAATATATGTGTATAAAAGATAGACAACATACATTGATTTGTTTTGAAACCCAGGTGCGCTTTCGATTTGTGCACTAGAAGAGCTAGTCACAAGCTACACATTAAGTGGGAGGGTAACACTTTACAGGCACGAAGACCATCCAAAATACTTAGGGATTGTACTAGATAAAATAACGAAGTCACCACAAGAAATCACCTGCTGAAAAAGCTCTGTAAAGTAGGTGGGGTGCCAGTCCAACAACTCTAAGGACAACAGCACAAGCCTTCTGTTTCTCAGAGTTTTATCAGGCTTGTGCATGTCTGAAGTCCATAATAGCGATATATTTGTTCAGGAAAAATGCATTAAACTTTATTTTTTCGACATGGTGTGTGCTTGTAGACTGACGATATAAAATTGTGTTATTCAATGGTATTTAACGGAATTAAATGAGAAATCTCACCTTTTCGTCCACTGAACCAATTTATAAACGATGGAATCTCCGATATTGCACAGTTTCTCGCTGAGATCTGTGTTGTGGTCCAGCAACTCGTCCAGGTTCCGCAGCGTCGCGATGTCCTGAAACTCGTCGCAGTCGATCAGCGTCTTGATCATGGACAGCACGTAGTCCACGGAGAAGTTCCTATCCCGCGAGCTGGACACCGCGCTATCCAGCCGGTGACGTAACCGCGTCACCTCGCTCGGGTTGGTCAGGGCGGTTTTCAGGATCGTACCGTTGACTGCAACAGATCCAAAACACTTTGTTCATTAGAATCACCTATATACGGTGCTACAGATAAAGAAAAGTACATTTCTCTACGATCGTGCAAAAAGTATCTATTTTTACACTAATATATTAAAAGTCAATTTTTTTACTCTAGTGCCAAAAACACCTTGACATTATTAATGACAACTTTAACTAAAGAGAATTTTTTTTATAAATTTGTTAAATCCTGGAAGATAAACCAAGTACCAGTAGTGGTACCAGTACACCTCGCAGCAACGTTCCGGGAAAGAGTTTTAAGTGAAGAACAAGTACCCGAATTGGACTGGAAATAAAGTTTGTCAATTACCGTGAATTTTTTAAACTGCGACATTAAAATTAAAATGAACTCAAAAAAAGTTATTAAAAAAATAAGTGTCATTGTTAGTGGTAATATTATTCTGTGAATTACTGTAAAAAAAAGTATGTCATGTAAAAACTCATGTCATGCATTGAAGCTAAGAAACAACGGCGAACTAGGAATATTTATATAATAATAGCTTATTTGTCAGTCATTGCTTCTTGTAGCACTACTACCTACTACCTATTAGAGAATAGAAAGTCAAAAGAGAATAATGGGAAAATATCACATTCAAAAAGACCTCCTACTCTGGGTGCCTGCTAACCAAGGGATAGAAGGCAATGAAAAAGCAAATGATCTAGCTAGAAAAGGAGCGAAGACTCCACTAACTGGACCAGAACCGTTCTGTTTTCCAAGCGGGAACCAATTGAAAGCGGAACTGAAGAACTTGGAAGACTCCAGGTTACGGGTGTCCTCCAACGGTCTCAGACACTCGAAAAAGTTTTCCTTGATTTAAGTAAAAACAATCTTGGGATTGTCACAGGGTTTCTATCAGGATACTGTCTTCTCAACGAACGCCTCAGTAGGCTGAGAAACAACGGCGAATGCAGATTCTGTGGAGAAAATGGGGAAACACCAGAACACCTTATCACTGAGTGCGCCGAGACGACGACCGTTCCTGCCATGAACTTTGGTACGGCTGATGTCGAGGATGGAGAGCTGGCCTCTGTAGCACCGTCTGAGATCGCTTTTGTTAAAGCCCTGAGACTGTATGAGGAGTTATAATAATAGCTCTCGTATATAGCGTTTAACCCCTTGGGAGTAGCAAGGTAGAGCTTGCCATACTAGAGCCGTTCGGTATACAAGGAAGGTAATGTGGCTAGCACTACGCTTCAACCGCCTATTATTACCTAAGAATTGTGAATCCCAAGTACTCATTTAAGGCTGAGTCGACCTAGGTACCCAAACTATTTTTATTTTAATAAAAATAGTCAGCTGATGAAATGCCGGGTGTGGGATTCGAATCCATTACCTTGAGATTGGTAGACGAGAGTCTGTACCTCTAGGCCACCGGCCACCTATGATGAGTTATAACTCGTTATAACTCAAGAAAGGGGAACACACAATAGATCTGTAAGGTCGCGGTCCTAAACATTCTACATCATATTCACATCTAGAAAGATATTGAAATATGTAGAAAATACTTGAATCGAAATGTAGGTAAACAAAAATAGAGAGAACAAATTACAACTGGAAATCGATTGGTTTCAGTCATTCCAGATATTTCGGTCAGTCATCTGTATACTAGATATTTACCTAGGTTTGGTGGCAATATTGAAGGCTGTTGTTGCTGCTGTTGCTGTTGGTGTTGCTCCACCTTGAACTGCTGCAGGCTTTTCTCTTGGTTCTTCGCTGACGCTTTACAGGAGGCCTTTTTGTGTTTTTTGTACTTGACTTTATACAAGTTATAGACGGCTCCACTATTTCTACCACCCGGCATTCTATCTTCCCGTACAGCTGAAAAGAAAATCAAAATCTTTAAGTTTACTTCTAAATTTAATTGGATACTACTAATAATTTTATTTTAAATCAACACTAGGAGTTTGTAAGGTAAGGTAGATTTCTCAATTTATAAATTGAAAAAGAGTAAAAAAGGTAGCTATTTATTTTACTATTGGTTTATCCTTACCATCATACACCCCACTGTTTATTTAAATAACTAGATTATTGTAAAACAGGATATGTCAAATATATTTTTATTAATTAAAACCAACACGTACCGCGTTAAATATTGCATTAATGAATTCACCAAAGGCCTTTAAATGGAAATATCAAGTCGGGTGTCACATAAAAACTCAAATGAAACATTTGTATGCAAACTATTTGAATTATATAATTAATAAATATACGTGCGTGAACATAATATTAATTAAAACAAATATATTTTATATTGACATATTAATTACTTGGGTATTTTTGAAACCGACAAATATATTTTATACATATAATTGATTTTTTATTATTTTTTACTATAGATATTAGGCATTTAAAAATGAGGTTGAATGGACCATTCGTTTATCTCGCGTTCATTCAGTTCAGAATGGAATTTCATTTCATAGATTTATTATGTACCAATTTTCATACATATAAAAGAATTTAGTATTAGGACCCGCAGTATTAATGGATAAAACTCAAGAACTCTTGTACTTGTGAAACACTAATGACACATAATCACAAGTAAGAAGAAAATTGAATCATTGAATCAAAAAAATTGGCAACTATAGAGAATCCACCAAGCAAGAGCATCATGAAGAATCTGGATTGCTCTGCATCCTTACTAAAAAAGTGTTTATCTAACTGTTGCATTTTACATCGGCGAGGCCAAGAATCTCTTACCAATACGAGTGATGAGTGGACCAGAGCAATGTAATAACAGACGACACCATGTAAGTAGATCAACAACACAATACAAATGGTTGGATACCAAAATAATTAATAGTAGTCATGTGTCATTTCAATTAATAGAATCCAGCGATCCGGCCACAGAATCGGCTTGATAACGACTAATTATAATGCTACAAGGTGTTCAAGTTGAACGTCGTGTAAATCTTCAAAGATAAAGGGCAATGCAAATCCAAGAAGATATTTTATTTTATTGTATTAATAAATTTTCCAGGACTTTTTTCTACTTTGGGTACTCGAATGTTAAATAGACAGTGCGTAGTTTAAAATAATTACGTAACATATAAGGATACTCACCTTGTAATACCATTCCCTGTTCGATGCACTTCTTGAACCGGCAATATTGACACCTATTCCGCTGCGTCTTAGTGATCTCACAGTTCCCGTCCGCCACGCACGTGTACACCCTCCGATTTTGCACCGTCCTTTTAAAGAAACCCTTACACCCCTCGCACGTGATGATCCCGTAATGCAATCCCGTCGCCTTATCCTCGCAGATCATGCAAATCATCGGCTGCTCCTCTTCCTCCCCTTGCTCCTGGACCTCCGGCGTCACACTAGGTTCGCTCAAACCCATCATAGGAAATAGATTTTGCGGTGGTAGACCCGTCGGAGATGTTAGATTGAGCGCTTGGGTTTGTTGGTTGAGAGGGATTTGCCTTAAATCGCCCGCCCAAAGGCGTTCCATGTTTAAGGGCGCGGTGGTGGTGGAAAACCCGCTAACTGGAGGGGATTGAGGTGACATCATAGATCTGCTCACTGGTAGGCGTAGGCGGTTGTCTTGCCCTAAGTTAAGGAGCATCTGCGCGGCGCTTTCTTCGGGGTTGGAGGCGGAGCTTGCACCCGGCGACCAACCCGATGTTGTAGGAAAAAGAGGCGGTTCGCTGCCGGTCGGTGATATGGGCGTGGTACAGAGCGTGGGCTGGGACCATACCATCGTTCTCACGCCCCCAGCCTCGCCCATTATCACTGTGGGCGTTTGTCGCACTGGTATTGTCGTACTCGACCTCGCCATCGGACTTCCCGGCGACCTTAATTCCGGTATATGAGGCGGTGAAGATGTTGGTCCAAAATTTCCTCCTATTAATTCTGGCTTCACCCCATTTATTCTTTGATGTTTCAGCCAGAACTGACCCTGAACCAGCGCTGCAGGCGGCTGACTGATAATAACTCCTCTAGGTCTGGTTTGGAAATACGTAGACGCGGACGAAGACGTAGGTTCTTGTGAAGTTACGATGGTGGGCGTGAGGTTCCTCGGTGGACTGGGCGTGGTCGGCTGCAGCAAGAGAGGGGCGTGCTTAATTACCGGACTCGCATTGGCCGGTCTCCCCGGTGAGCTGTGCGGCCTGGGCGGTTGGGAAGGGCTGAAAGGCGGTGCTGGCCTTAAGGCGGGCGGGCTCTGGCTTCGCAGACTCCGGATGACGCTGGCTGTTGTGCTGCCACTCCCTCCGGTACCCGTGCCGCCTCCGTCGAACACTCCCGAGTCCTCCAGGCGGCTGGAGATCTTATCCAGGGTGGGCTCGGGCTTGATCAGCTGATGGGCTGGTGGTGTGGAGTCCGGGCTGGGAGGCGGGTTGATCGCCGCGTCGGCCATTTTCGGTGACGGTGGAATGATGAGATCTGGAGACGACGTGCTAGTGTCGGCGACAGATTCGCCTAGAAGCGGACAGAGACATTGCCTAAAAGGAAATTTTGATCATGGCTGCCTAGTCTAAGTGTGTCTTAACTACACTACGCCTACGTACAATAAACGAACTAAATAAAATAACATTTTATTTTTTAAATACTGTCTGTTACTAAACAAAAATCTTAAAAGGTATATTACAATAATTATTTATTTATGTAAAAGTAACTGGGTATTAATCCAAGGAAATCAGTGGATCATCTCTAGTATATGAATTTGTTTTCTACCAAATTATTCGTAAAAAATTGCTTTTACCAAATATGCTAATGAGCCAAACTTGAGAAAAAATTGAGATATGATTACAAATACGATTTAAGCATCTTTTAAGGGGCCAGGACAAGACACAAATAACATTAGACGATCAGATCTTGATTAAGGCTTCTTGATTAAAAATTAGTGTTTTTAACACAGCCATGACACTCTAGATTGAAATTTAAAATACGATTTTTTTAAAAAAGAAAATATCAAAATTTATCATATATGTCATTCTATTCAGAATGTTAATTTTCTATCAAATAAAGTAGAAATATATCGAGGGTGCCATTTAAGAATCAAAAGTTGTAGGCATTTCTGGTGAAACAAGAAGTGACCAGAAACAATTGAATACGCCAATCAATACTAATTTATGTCATATACTAACATACCAAATTCCGTTTAATTATCTGAAAAAATAAAGAAGTTATAGGGGTGAGCCACTTTCGAGACGCACCCGGTATATCCATAAATTTTCAGAAATCATTAATTTTTCAGATAAACATATAGTCTAAAGACTAATATTCAGTACCTACAATTATTCATTAATAAAATCCATAAATGTTTCTAAATTTAACTATACTTGAAGTTAATCATATTCTACGATTATTAAACGCTTATAAAATTTGTTTTTGAAAGACTAAAAACAATGCTTTCAGGAAAAATCAAATGCATGATATCGAAATAATAATATATTATTTTAGGAGTTCGTTACATTGTAATAGGAATAGTTACTATATTAAAATATGAAGTTCATGGCCAGAAATTTCTACAACAGAACTATTTTTATCTCTATATGAAAACGCTACTAATATTTTAACAATAAAATATGAGAAACATGAAAAAAAATAGTTCTGTTTTATACATATACATAGATTTAGGGGCAAATAATTATCAACGAATCTATACAGTGATTTAAAAAATATTCTGAAATACTTAATTATGAAAAAAAAATTGGTGATAATAAAATTGCTATCATAATTTTGAAAAAATGTGGATTAAAGCATAGATTTTCATGGTTATAGATTCTTTGATAATACCTAGGTAATTTTTAAAATTTATTGAATAATATTAGTTGTAAACGTACCGTCACTGCTACACCTTGAATCGACTTTTCTTCTCTTCAATTTCAGGTCCTGAAAAAGGCTCATCTTGTCGAGCTCACACGGGGTGCGCGTAAGGGTCATAATTCCTGAAAAGAAAAGAAATTTTGGTCAATAATTTGGAATTATGCATGTACCAATTCAATTGAAATTAAATAAATAACGATATAGGGTGGTCTCAAAAAGTTTGCTTAAATTAGGTAAATGTGATTTTTTATATTTATCAATCTTATCTGTCAAATTTGGCAAATATCGAAAGCAACATTATTTCTTAAGATGTCAAAAAGTACTTATGACAATAGAGTGATCCTTAAATGTTATAGTCTATATAGTATTTATGTTTGTTTTTGAAATAGGAGTTTTAATTGTGTATACCTATTATTATAATCAATTGTGTTATTGAACAACGTTTATGACTTTAAGTGAGGTTATAAATTTAAATGCAAATAAGCTCGTGTAATAGTTATAAATGAACGAGAAGCCATAAAATGGTTGAGGAAAGCGAAAGTCGCAATTAATGAAATAAATTAGCGTATATGATCGAATAAAAACTATGCTGAGTAGGCTTAGATTTGTCATTTAATTTCGAGTTTTAGTATAAAGTGAAAATACACGATTCAGTTTGGTTGAACAACTTGGTTCAACCAACAACCAACTCAAACTTGACATATAATTTAACTGATACACCATTGACAATGACAAATAATTGATATCTGAAGGTATTGTGTTTTAGGTGTGCCTCATGTATTTTTTAATATTTATTCGTTTTACATAAACTAAAAGTGATCTGCAAATATATATACCTTTCATTTAAAACAAGAATAATCAAAATTGGTGAAGCGGTAGACGCGTGATGGATGGGACAAAAAACCTTTTGAGCTTTTATATTTATTTAACCATGTATATTTGATACCAATTATTAAACTTTTAGTTACGTAATCGAGGGCGCGATTTTTAAATTCATTGTTGCCAACCATGGACATATTCGGCGCCGGGCTGACTAACTGGAATTTAAATTTCCCGCTGGGGTTTCAGGTGGTAGCTCTGCTATAAAAAATGTCAAGTTGCCATATTATTTATTTATTTCCTGATATTGTCATTCATTTTAACCCTTTAGTTTTGTACTACACGTTTTTTACAATAGTACATTTTTACAATGTTTACTAGCAGACCTTGCAGTCGACAATTGTTTTTAGAAACTGTACAAGATAGCCTAATTGCCGTGAAAAACTCATCGCAACTTTATTAGAATATTTTGAACAGTAAAGCGGTAGTAATGGCCCTTTATGTCCCTTAAGTGCTGTTAAGAAAGTGAATTTTGTTGATGTAAATAGTAACTGTTTATATATTTATAATTGATTTATTTTTGTTTCCTAAAATATTTGATTAACAGAAAATATGTAAAAGTGGGCAACACTGTGCCGGTTAAGCTTAATCACGTGACTAAAAGTTTACTTGATATGAACTATACATATATGGATTAAGACTTTATACAGGGTTGTTCACCACATACGACACGGAGTATTGTAGCTAAACGATGAGATTTTTACAAATTGTAAGTTTTGGGTTCGATGAAAATAATTTTACAAGATACAGAGTGTCCCAAATAAGTAAAAATATCAAAGTTGTATTTTTTTAAATGGAACACCCTGTATATTATTACATTTTTAGGTTCTACGATTAAAATAAAGGTAAATTTGATTAAGATTTATTATACTTAAACCTTAGCGTTTTTGAAATATTTTCAATTTTGTGAAATTGCAGTAAACATTTTAAGGCTTCATTTCTCCAAGGGTATCAAAGTTTTTAATACTAAATATTTACTGAAGTTTGTTTACTGATCAGTTATTGTGTTGCAATAATAAAAATAATACTACCATATACAGAGTGTCTAAAAATTTATTTTAAATAATTATTAGCTTCAAACGGCAATAACTTGTTTAATTTAAATGGAACACCCTGTATATTTTACGAGAATCAGATGCACAATTTAATTGTCTATCAAATTATATTATACCATTTTTTACCTATCTCTCTAAGTTTCCGTAGAAAATGCATTTTCTTGTAATTTAGAACTTATTTATCAATATACCCATGGACTATTGACATTTTAGATTATTTTTAAAGATGTACCAAATTTTTAAAGAGTACAGATACTAATATTGTCGATATAATTCGTTTATTTCATTAAAAAATAAAAAAAGACTGTTTAAATATTTGTTAAAGAGGACCAATTAATATGATTCCAGTATTCAAACTACATTAACTGACTGTTTGCGTTGATTAATAATAATTGCTCCAAATACTAAAAAACTGAATTTTGTATAGGCATTAGACAGTGTGATAAAAAGTAACACCTTAAAAATGATATTTCATTTTTTAATAAATGCTTATTTATAACAACAAAGACTTTAATTTGATAAATTATTATTATATTGATTTCTGACTCAAAAATCCACATTTATTTATAATAATTTATTAACGAACACAATTAAGTATGCCATTAATTAGTTATATGGGGAAATAATGGTGTTATATTTAATTAATGGTATACTCTTTTATAAAGATTTAAACAGTTTTTTTTGCATACAAATGGGCTAGTAATATTATCGTTTTGCTAAAACCGATAATATTACTAGTCTGTACATTTTGTACATTTGTTGCTTTAAAAACAATCTAAAATGTCAATATTCCATGGATATATTGATAAATGTATCAAAAAGAGAGATGTATCTAAATTATAAGAAAATGCATTTTCTACGAAAACTTGAAGGGATAGGTAAAAAATGGTATAATACAATTTGATAGACAATTTAATTGTGCATCTGATTCTCCTAAAATATACAGGGCATTCCATTTAAATTAAAGAAGTTATTGCCGTTTGAAGCTAATAATTATTTAAAATAAATTTTTAGACACTCTGTATAAGGTAGTATTATTTTATTATTGCAACACAATAACTGATCAATAAATAAACTTCATTAAATATTTAGTATTAAAAACATTGATACCCTTGGAGAAATGAAGCTTTAAAATTTTTACTGCAATTTCACAAAATTGAAAATATTTCAAAAACGGTAAGGTTTAAGTATAATAAACCTTAATCTAATTTACGTTTATTTTAATCGTAGAAACTAAAAAAGTAATAATATACAGGGTGTTCCATTTAAAAAAATACAACTTTGATATTTTTTATTTATTTGGGACACTCTGTATCTTGTAAAAATATTTTTAAATTGTAGCTCTAATAGTCCTTCAACGAACCCCAAACTTACAATTTGTAAAAATCTCATCGTTTAGCTACAATACTCCGTGTCGTATGTGGTGAACAACCCTGTATATTGTGGTTTTTTACATAGTGGCATTATACCAAGGCAATATAAAGATTTATCTACCGTGTAGATATGTTTAAAAAATACGAATTTCCACTGTGCTATTGTAATGTGTAGGTGTCGTATACTTGTCGATAATGACATTTGTCTAATTTAAATATTTTACAGATAAAAATTGTTCTATTTTAAGTTGTGCGACCCATCGTTGTTGCGAATTCAGGTTAATTATATTATAAACGCGTGTAGTATAATGTACATGTTCGAGGAAGGAAGGTATTTGATATTATAATGGGATTATTTGCGGAAAAGAGGTTCGCAGTCTATTGAATTAAATACATATATCTATAATGATTGAATAAATCAATCAGAAACATCTAACTAAGTTAAAGAATGCTCTAGTAAAATATTTAGTTTTGATTTGTATTAAAAGTTATGGTTTCCAGCCAAAAGTTACATCATACAGATAACAGATAAAAACGAATAACAACTTCTACACTATGCCGTTTCACGAAATATTTCTGGAAATATTTCGTAACAAATTTCGCGAAGGTATTTCTTTAAATACTTTCAGAAGTAAACTCAATGTTTTTCTTATGTTGTGGGGAATATTAGCTTGTCTCAGCCGCAATCCCCGAAACAGATCGAAATCAACCGAGACAAGCCGTGATTGGTTGTTTGTTTCTTATTATTATTGGAATTGTCTCGGAAAATGTTTCGACAAACGTTTCGACCAGTTTCGACAAAACTTTTATAATACGCGTCTTATTCTTCGTATTATTTCGCGATGTAATTAAGGTCAAACTTTGTGGTGGATTCAGAAAAATAAGTAAACAAGGAGTATGAATAAATATCATTAGTTTGTAATGGAATGTAATATACACTGATATGATCAAAAACAGTGCATCTAGAAAAAAGTTACCGATTTTAGATTAAATTGGCTATTCCTCTAAGGTAGAGAATATTTAGTTTCAATCATTAGCTAATATTATAATTTACGATATAGTAAAAAATATATTTCCAAAAATTAAAATCCTAAAACTGCCGGGCAGCAGTGATTAAATGTTCTGGCGGTCAGCCTTTTATCAGCTTATAATCCACGATGTTATTAAAACTATTATGTTAGTTATATGATGTCAGTTAAACTATTTACAAAATCGTCTATTTCTTATTTTTGAATGGATTCATTTCAAACCATGCTGGATGCCAACAAAAGTATCGTTTACAGTTTTCTCTTAAAAACAATAAGAGTACATCGTTTTTAAAAAATGTCCGTGGACCATACTTTTGTTGACATCGGGTCTATCAATCATTTTCCAAATTAGCTTGATATATTGATGATGTTAGCAGTATTACACTATACTTAGTTTAAAATGTAGCATATTATAAAAAGGAAGTAGATATTATTTAGTAAATAAGATAAATTTGTAATCCACACAAAAGATAGTATGCATTATCCTTTATTAATTAAAGCTCTATATGTATAGATATGTAACTACAGGGTCTACAAGAGAGACATAAAGTGACTTTGACCGTCTGTCTAAAATTTCAAAATAGTCAAGTTTCAAGGAAGCGTCGCGTCGCAGTGATTGTTTATAGAGTCCGCAACCCTGACTCAATGCAAAAATAAAAACTTTAAGACAAACAAACGCATTCGGTATGTCGCCCCTGAACATTTATTAATAGAAATTGTTAGAACAAAAATGTAACTAACAATCGATATTGGAACGCAGTTAATTAAACAATGTTTTTATTCAAGA